TGTTTACCCTGCCTAGAATGAGCTCTGCCGTAGAGTTCCACGGAACATCTTTTTGGAATGAACCGCTGCTTAAAATTGTTGGGCAATTATTGAATTGGTTCCATTAAACACGCATATTAGGTTCCATATCATCAATTTTAAATAATACCAACAGTTAAAAGTGTTTGTTATAATCAAATATCCCTGTTTACTTAGCCCACAAAGAGTGTTACGTAGTAGCTAAGCGATAATTAATACTAAGTTCGTTTACAACTTTAAGTTATATATTATTTATTAAAGAAAACTTTCATTCTGTTAAATAAATTTAGGTGAGAAGCATACAGTTTATTGCTAAATCTAAAAGTTTAAAAGACATACCCTTAGTTTTAGCAGTGAAGATATTTGAGAAATCAGAAGTGCCAGCACGATTAAAGCTTTGCATCTTTATGTCATATCCTGTGTCTGGCAAAAGATGAGATATTATGTGAGATCGAGTGTTAGAGCCCAGCACTGACACTTTCAAATATTTTCCAGCCATGTGTGTCGCCCGATAATGTATGAAGAAACCATCAGTCTGAATAGAATCCACTTCCTGATACTAAAATGTATAGATTTATTATGAACAATATAGAAAAAAACTGTTTATACCTAATAGAAAAGTTTTTCTAAGAAATTGTTGAGAATATAAACTATTACAATGCTTAAATGATTTTAGATCAAAAAAGAGATTAAATAAAAAAGAAATTAACTTATAATATTTGGTTATATGTACTGTCCAATATTGAGCATGAAGGATGCTTAATCCCTCATCAGAGTAAAATCCCCGAGAGAATTCTGATTTACAAGGTACACACACAACTGAGGGACCTGGCCAGGCCTTTGCTGGTCTGATTATTAAATATTAAAATTACAATACAAAATATGGCAACAGATCAACGATAATCACTAAATGCAAAAAAAAATTTGGAGTTTAAACTGACAAATAATAGTATATATAAATAAAAAATTAAGTATGATAATATATTTATTTACCTATAAATTAACAACTTGATAACTTTGCAGAAAAAGTAAGCATTCAGACCATAAAAATTTAATTACCTAGCTCTACAGATTATTTGATAACCAAAATATTTTGAAGTAAAAAAAAAAAATATTTTAATCAAATAGTCATCTAAAGGAGCTGAATACCAAGTAATAGACTGAAGATTCAGTGCATCTTTGATTTATATAAGCTAATTGGTTTCACTATTATCAGCACATTGAAAAGAGGCAGAAAAAAAGCCCATCCTGACTTTAAAAAAAACAAGTGCCAAGTTTCAATTAATTGAAAAATGCAAAATTATACAAATGATAAAACATTTAATTTAAAACAATAAAGAAAAATACTGGGCTTCAGCACAGGAAGGAATAAATGCATAATTGATCAAACAAATGCATAAGAAATAAAATACTCAGATAGTAATTGCATTCAATATATCATACCTCCCATTGCAATGTAATAGCAGATTGACTAACTGCTTCAGCATAGGTAATAATAGGTATAACACAGGGTTTTTCCATTGGAGTGTCCTTCACTAAAACAAACTTATCAGATATCGGTCCATCTCTGTTGTCGCTGTTAGAATAGACTGCAGCTATACGAAAACGATAAGCTCCGCCTGTAATATGGAAACAAGAATGTCATATGGAAGTAACTTTGAAGAACTGTTAAATTATAATTACAACCAGAAGGAAAATTAAGATAACAATACTTAAGAATTTTATTGGATTAAAGCTTTCAAAACTTGAATTTGAAAAGACAGAGAATAAAATTTGACTTAATGTTGGAAGGTTGATTTTTAATTTATTTTTAAAATAATTTTGTTTTCTTGAGAGTAGGCTCATAACATTTAAGGATATTTTTTCGTTCTTTTAATATAGGCAAAGAAACATTCAGGGAATTTTCATACTTGCACTCAACATACTCTGAACTTTCCTACACACAAAAAGGCAGCGATGTTTGCAAGTTACAACAGGTTTGCGAATATAGATTACGAAATTTTAAACATACTTACTAAATCAAATATATAATCAGGGGTCTGTCCAGATATTTTGTGAAAGGTCCTGTTTTTGTAAAATTGTGAAAAAACTATTCATAATTTGTGAATATAAAATAAGCATTAAGTCACATTCTTTCAACCAGGATCCTTCTATTGTGAATTTGTGCAAATAGGGTCCTGCTATTGCAAAAATTGCTAAAAACCTTTTCAAGAAGTTTTGAAATTGTAAATAGATACAAGATTCTGCTCAACAATTGCTGCTACTATATTAGAGATGCAACATACAAATATTTGGTATTTAGCCTATACTGCTCAACACGGAATATTCATTTAGAATGAATAATGGAAACAAAATCACTCACATTTTTAATAATTTCAATTGACAGATTTTAAATAACACAACTTAGTAATGTATCACTTTTAATGTGTTACGCATTAAGTAAACTTAAACAATTCTTAAATTTATAATATTTTATTTAACAAATTGCCAGAAATTAATTTTTATTTACATAATATTCTAGTAATTGATTTTATGAATAAATATAATTTGATAAATTACTTATTTACAAAAAAATTATGATTTAATATTAATAAGAATGCACACACAATGTTAGTAATGGTAGAAATATTTTCTTACAATACTACATTTGGAATTTAAACTTAGGCAAACTTAGTTTGTCTCGAACAGTCCCCCCCCCCCCNCCCTGGGAAGGCTTTATTCGATTAACAAAACAATAATGATGATAAACAAATTTGTGAAGGGTCCGTTTTTATGAAAAGATATTTTGTGAAGGGTCCGTTTTTATGAAAAGATATTTTGTGAAAGGTCCATTAACAGACCCAAATTTCCTCTAAACAGACCCCTGATGATACTAATTTTATTTTTATACAGTACAAAAGAAGTACTTAATTTTAGTTTGAACTGTCTCTTTGTTTTGTTATTGTTTTTTTAAGTAAGGCTCATGGCTCCCGAAAACATTGTCACCTTTAAAAAGAAATTTATTTAAAGATAAAAGAGTTAATATTTGATTAAGTTATAGCAAGTTAACTATAGCGCTTCGATAGATTATTCATGTACATTAATCATTAATTCATTTTTTTTTGTTATATTGAGATATTGTATTACAATAAGGAATATTTAGTAAACAATATTAATTCCATAATCCAATGATAAAAATTGTCTGGGTCAGCGAGATCCAAAAAATTATGAAGGAAAATTCTCTTTGAAATCATGAGCCTCCCCCATAAATTTTGCAATTGCTCAGGGTTGCCACTCAAATCAGGAAAAAAAGTTCTCTGTGTTTTTCCTGTATATATTATTCACAATATATTAAGGGGAAACAGTAAGTCTCAGTGCAAATGTGAGCTTTATTAGTATAACTAATACTAGTTCTAATAGCTGGAAAAAATTAGAAAAATAAAGAACAGTTCAACATACATAAAAAAAAAATAATAATAATACAGCAAATGAAATAGCATAGTGTAGCTGAACTATCTGTAAATAATCCATAATTTGCACTTTGAGAGTTTATAAGGAAAAATTCAAAATTGCCTGCATTTTTCGTTATTATAGATAATTTTTTAATACACTGTATTCTCCAGGTTTTCCCAATTCTCCCTGTTCTATTACATTTCAAATTTAACCTCAGAAAGTGCAAAAAATATAACAAAAATTAAAAGTTTTAAGGAGTGAACATTGAAATTAAATGAGATCCTTACCAGTTTTAAGATTAACAACAGCATAAGAGTGTATATGAGCAGCAATATCTTCATCAATCGTCATCCAATTTGTTTTACGACGTCCAACCTCCTTGTATTGCAGTTTATAAAAATTTATAGGAAGTCCTCCATCAGCAGCTGTCCATCTTACCATCACAGATGTATTTGACAATCGATTTATTTCAGGTTTAGATGGGGGGATCAACTTTACTGCATTAGAAAATAGAGAAATGACTATGCTTTAATTACAAGGAATACAATAAAAAAAATTCAATAAATATAAAGCCAATATTGGGAAAAATTAAAGGTCCTTCCTACAACGAAGTTTTACTATACTGAAATTTTTAAATCAAATTTGAAATAACATTCAAAATAAATTCTATAAAACAAAGAGGTTGACTTTCAATAAGAAGATATTTTCAGACATAAATATTTTCAATGAAACAAAAATACAAATAAAATAAGGATAGTTTTAAGTTGCATTTTATTTGATTAAACATTAATTAATAATAATAAATATGATAAATAATAATTTTAAGAATAAATAAATAATTATTTATGTTCAAAATAAATTTTTTTATAATAAATGCTGATCCGAAAATGAGGAGACTTTGTAACCCGGATCAATTCTCTGACATTTTTATGAAACCCGAATCTTAGGCCATTGGACTTTTCCTATTGAAAACATGGTCTAGAGCAGTAGCAGTATTTTTCTAACTTATGATTAGGGCTGCAGGTTTGTCGCGGCGCGAATTTTCGCGAAATTGTCATCTTTTTTCCTAAAATCCGTGAATTTTTCAATATGTCTTGACTTGCTCGAAAATTGCTTAAAATTTGAATTTTTTTCTTCCATTTTTTATTTATTATTTTTATTAAACAGAATTTTTTATTTTCCTGAAACTTAAATTGAACATGTAAAATTGATTAGATATTTAGGGGAGTGAATCAATAGCGAAATGACATGAAAATAGATAAGAGATAATCACAATCTTGTCAACTAAGGTGGTTTTTCTACACTTAGGGAGGGTAATTACCTTCCTGAAGTCAGTAAGAGTACAAAAGAAATTGGAATCACAAAAGAAGGAAAATGTTATAAATCAAATCTTTGACAGAAAAATTGTTATACATGCTATTGCACCTGGCAATGAAATTTCTACTGCCTTTCTACATATCCAGTTAATTTTTCCTAGGTGGCTTCTTCTGATTTCTTAAATATGGATCAGTTTCTTAGATGAGGGGGGGAGGACTAGTAGTTAGTAGGGACTTGTAACTAGTAGTTTGAATGTAGAATGTTTGAGTTTTCACAGCAATTACTTCTTACAAAGCAACGGTCAAGGAATTGCACGTTGGTGAAGGAAAATCGATCGAGTTTTGGAAATCAAAGACCGAACGCTCCAAAATGGGCAAAAGTGGCAATTCGAAGTTTGTTGGTTCCTAAAAACAGCGTTGATGCAGAAATATCGTTTTCTAAGTATAAAACCTTTTGAGATACTTTAACAACACAAAACAGGTTTTAAATTCATAAACACTATACATAATTTTAAAAAAAATTATACATCTTTATTTTGTTAACTATTATCTACTATTTATTTTATAAACATAAAAGAAATCTGCATGGAAAGCTACATACATTTTCAACCAAACAAAAAGCTAAATTTATGTATAAAATTACAGCTACATTTATTATAAAAGTAATTTTAAACATTCTTACCCCATGCGCTCTTAAGTTTAATTGTTACTGATAAAATCCATTTTGTCTGAGTTTTTCATTTGAAATGCAAACAAAAAGGGAAAGAGATTTTACTGCTTTTTTCTAAAAATTAAGTGGCTGCGAAAATCAATTCAAGGTAATTTCCCAAATAAAATGCATTAACATGTTTAAAATGTTCTGAATTATTTTGGGAGATAAGGAAAGTGGATATTAAAGAAAAATTCATTAAATACAAAATTCATGACGCTATTTGGAAGTTATTTTATAAAGAAATTTCTAAAATTTACTAGGTTCCTCAAAAAAATTGCAAAATAGAGAAATTCGCCAAAGGGAAGTCCGTTAAATCCAACAGTATAATAATTTTGATCCATAATAAAAATATTAACTAATGCTAATAATACATACTAATAGTTTCAGTGATAAGTTACATTTTAAAATTATTTAGAAGAATGTTAAAAGCACAATTTCCTTGTAAGCAATAAGGTGTACATTTTTTATGTTTAAATTATTGCCTAATATTACGGCTGAGTCTTAGTATGAAAAATAAGATCATTTGATCAAAAGTTAGTAATTAATAGTTAGTAATTAAAAGTTAGTAATTAATAGTTAACATACTAATTGAAAAATTATTTTGTGCAAAAACAAAAATAACAGAAATAGTTATTCTTCATTTACCTCCTTTAAAATGTTTCTTTTTGTGGTGTCTTTTTCCAATATCAGAATTGTGATCTTTGGATCTTTTGGAATCATCAGAATTTTGATCATCAAACCTTTCCCTATCAGAATGATATGGATTCCTGGTTTCCCTATCTATATTAAAATGATATAATAGTAAATGTTATGTTTTTATCGTATACATATTTACTATTACCTACATAAACCATTTTAAATAAAGCCTCGGTTAACAAAACAGCAAATTAACTATTTAAACAAAGTATTAACGATACATTTATGAAACAGAAATTCAACAATACACGAAGGTTTCTTAAATAACACAAATTTTAAAATAACAAGGCAGTAAGAACGCGATATAAAACAAAATACCTCTATTTACTCTTTTAACTCTATTTGCACTCGTTTTCATATTTTGTAATCTGGCAATCTTATTACGAAAATATTTTTATTCTTTCTAGAAAGATTTTGGCATACGTAAGTTCATTTGAATTCGTTACTCGCTTTATAGATTTCGTTTTTTATTTATTTTTTTTTTACATTTCATTATCTGTTTTTTAGTAATATATTTATTAATTAATGTGTTCTATTTTGCTACAATTTTCTTAGTGCTCCTTACATTATTATATTGATATATTTTGCTTTGGCTATATTGATACAATATTAGAAAGCACTCTTTTTTGCAGATATAATCGTGTGAGCTGATGAAGAGATTACATCTTATCAAATTTTTGTTTTCCGACAATTTAATATACATATAGATAATTTTTTTAAATATTTTATTTGAATAATTTTTCTTCTTCTCTTTTTATTTATCTTTATTATTTTCCATTGTTTTCTCGATTCTTAAGAACAAAGTACTTTATATCATCTAAACTTAAGCTTACTGAAATCTTTAAAAACTTTTATTAATTTACATTTTTCTAAAAATTGGAACGAGTGTAAATGACACCAAGACTTATTTTAAAAAATTACTAGAACTCCTTAAATTTCTTTTAACTGAGTTGTAAGGTTTTGAAGTCTGAAAATACAACATTCATAAATTGATCATATTCACACACATTCATAAATTATGGTATTGTAGAATTATTAAGTATTTGATAGCATTGCTATATTTTTTTTAACTTATTTTTATTTGAATGTTTTACCCAACTAATGGGAATTAGGCATAGTATTTATTCTCTTCTCTTCGTCAGCAAATTTTAACTTCACCAGCTTAATTTAAGTTGAAATCTACAAGAGAGGAAACTAAATTGCTTAGCATATTAAATTCGATTCAAATTAAAAAGTTTGCAAGTAAATTCATGATGTTTTTTTACTCTGTCATGTTTTGAAAAATAAAAACCCATTATATTAAAGTTATGTTTCAGGCAATACTATAATTTAATGTTGTGGTAGTACATTAAAAATGACATCTCAGTAATAACACTCAAGAAAAATAACAGTTACAAATAAAATAAATTAAAACCTGTAAATAATTCTTTTCATATACATACCTTCCTCCTCATCATCATAACCAAAATCAAGGGATACATTTCCCGATGTAACTGTAACAGTTGCTGATGCCATAGCAGTTCCTAGACTATTGGTGGCCATGCATTGGTATATACCAGCATGTTTTTGATGGACATTCTGTATTATTAACTGAGCTCCTGCAATCAGTATTGAATTGAATAAGTTAAATGTGGTAACACAATAAAGTATGGGGCACTATAAAGTTAACATTTTTATGTCTAAGGGTTACTTATATTCAGTTTGGTAATTTAATAGTTTCTGAAATTTCTATAATACAAAGAAATAACTTATTGCCAACATAAAAATTAAAATTTTCATTGAATGCACTCTCATAGCTACAAACATGGATGGGAAAAATCCAGTAGACTTTATGAAATAATGTAAGTTTCAAGATAATTGTTGCAAAATGTACTGAATAGGACTCAGAGGATTTGAAGGATTTTTATAGTCAATAAAATAGAAAAACTGCAATATTGTTGCAGTAATATTGCACTTTTGCAGTACAAGTACATTAAATGAACTTGAAATGTTATGTACCATGTTTACTCGTAATTTAAAATAGTGCATGGCATTTAATTCATTAGAGATAGTTAAAAGATTCCTTAATTAATTTAAAAAGGGAGTTCTGAATAAAAATAAACTCAATATTTCAAACAAAAAAAGTATCAAACTGATTTTTATAACTTCATTATGTATTAGTAATACTTATTTAAATATTCAAGCAAGCTACAATCTGTGCAAAAATTCTAAATTTTAGGGAATTTTCAAAAATGTACAAAAACCAGGAGAATTTTTATTAAACCAGTAGACAAGGAGAAACAAGTGAGTTGGCAGCTATGTACTCTACAGAACAATTTGAAATTATGCATCATCATATTGTTACAAGATCTGCATAAAATAATGTACATACAGGGTATCTGCTACATTTTAGATTTTCAAATTCATGACTTTCCATGACTAATTCCTAGAATTTTTCATGACTTAACTAACAAGGGAAACTAGGGAAGTGTGACTCGCCAATTTTGAAATTAACTAGTGGGATGTATGCCTTATGAGGAATAATTTTAAGGGGCAACATTCGTTTCGGCCCATAGAAGGTCCTGTGAGAGATAAAAAATAATTCAATATATAGAAAAATCGGTATTTTATTACTTCAATGCAGACTATTAGTTATTGTAATTGTCTCATACTCCAATTAATTTTGTGGTACTTTCACGTACTATATAATGCATATTTATTGTCAAAATTGATTTCGAAAATTTTATATATCTGTAGTTTTTCAGAAAAACCTGTTAGGTTAATTTAAAAAAAAAAAAAATTGACATCAAATTTTTTAAAATTTTTTTTTCAAAAAACTTTCCAAATTAATTGGAGTATGTAATTGCAAATCAATTAATTATTAATAATTAATTAACAATTAATTAATAATTAATTTTCTGATTAATTTATTAATTAGCAAATTAATTAATTATCCAATTAATTGGATTATGAGACAATTACAATAACTAATAGTCTGCAAATAAAATACCGATTTTTCTATATATTGAATTATTTTTTATCTCTCACAGGACCTTCTATGGGCCGAAACGAATGTTGCCGCCTAAAATTATTCCTCATAAGGCATACATCCCACTAGTTAATTTCAAAATTGGCGAGTCACACTTCCCTAGTTTCCCTTGTAAGTTACTATTTTCTCTAACAAATACACAAGAAATTTAAAAACGCATTATAATAACATAAATTGAAATGATAGGTATAACCAAAACTGTTATACTCTGCATCCTCATATTTAAAGATTTTAAATTAAAAAAAACAGAGTAAAGAAAGAGCTGAAGCAATAAAATAGCTGGAAAAAAAATACAAAAGCAAATAACTTTTTTCTGTAGAATTATATTCCAAAGATACTTTTCTTGTTCATCCGAAAGGAAAGAAATACTCCTGATTTTTATGTTCTCATTTCGAAATAAAAAAAATTTGCCAATGACTGGCTTGCTTCAGCTAGAATTTTAAATTGATAAAATAAAAATACAGTACAGAACCTTTTATCCGGAAATCAGAAAACCGGAATGAAATTCGATAAATTTTCCTGCCATTTAAAAAAAAAAATTTTTTTTTTTCCTTATAAGATTTTAGGATTTTTCTTTCTTTTTTAAAAGATGTTTACCTTACCATCATTTTAGAAATAATCATTAGTGTATTACTTTATTGTTTTTTCTTTTTTTTAAGATTATTTCTAAATATTTTTTCTTTTTTTTTAGTTGGGTTTGACAATAAAAAAATGGCTTTCTGTAGCGATTCCGAAAACCGGAAAAATCAGTTATCCGGAATAGCGATGGTCCTGATCGTTCCGGATAATCGGTTCCCTACTGTAATAACAAAAATTCTGAAATCACAGAAGTTTAAAAGATAATTTGCTCCAGAAATAATGCTTTTTTTTCTCCATTCTTTGAAAGAACATGATGAAAGCATTTTATATTTTAATAAAATATGACTGTAAGTGAGGATTTTATTACAAATTCAGATATTCGGAGCACCATGAAATGGGGGGGAGTATTTTTAAATTCCATTTTAAAAATTAGATTTTTCAGCTACCTAAATTCATGACTTTCCATGATTTTCTTCAATAAATAGTTAAAATCATGACATTTCACGACAAATTTTGTTCAATACCAAAATTCATGACATTCCATGATTTTTCATGACTTTACAGGTGCGCGGATACCCTGTACACAAAAAAAAAAGTGGACACCATGAATAACTTTTGATCAAATGATCTTATTTTTACATACTAAGACTCAACCATAATATTAGGCAATAATTTAAACATAAAAAATTTACACTTTATTGCTTACAAGGAAATTGTGCTTTTAACATTCTTCTAAATAATTTTAAAATGTAACTTATCACTGAAATGCTCTCCCTTCATATATAGAGAAAAACAAACCTTTTCTATTTTTTGAGTCTGTCATTTCTCTTCCATTGTGAACCCACTTCAGAGAAGGTTTGGGATGACCTCTATTTTGGCAGTGTAAAGTGAAGTTGTGGCCCACTTCAACAACAACATCATTTGGTGCTCTTGAAATCTGGGGTGTTTCTAAACAAAGGTAAAATTAAAACACTATTAACTATTTAAATTCTGTTTTTAGAGAAATAATTTTACCAACAAAGAAGTCTTTTTTGGAAGCATCAATAACAATAACAATAAAAAAAATTTATTCTAGGGTTGCCACTCTAATGTGGACAAAAAAATTCCCCGTACATATTATACATAATATATTAAGAGGTAACACACCATTACATGCGATTAAAATGGGTAAGCAATTAAGGGTAAAAGGATTAGTGGGATTATTTTAATTAGTGGGATTATTAAGTAATATAAAATCAGGGATAATTTAACATTATCAGTATAGGCAATTTTCATGGACAGGTAGAAAATGACGTAGGAGGCAGGATTACATACGAGATGAACAACATAAAACCGGGGTTCTACATTTTTCCTTGCATTTTATGCTTGACTGTAGATTTGATTCTTAGGGTGATAACCCTATCCTAGTTTTCCAAGAATACTATACATTTTTTATTCACCTTTAGACTTGAATTACTTAGACAGGGTACGTAGCCAAATCTCTCAACAAAAAATAAGCACCTTTAAAGTACTTTTTAAGCACTCTATGCATTAACAAAATGCAAAACAATTTTTAAAGACTTTACATGATCACAATAAAATAATTAGTTTCTGACTAAGAACGATTTTCTTCATTATATTAGCCACCATAAAATGATCAAGAGATTTTTTGGTTTGATTCCAGAGGGTGGAAAATGAAGCCTGAAATTGAGAATATCTTGTAAAATAAAGCAGAGTTGCACATGAGAGTGCAATAATCTCACCGGCACCAGCTCAGCAGACGCACATGCAGACCCGCAAATTTTTTATCGAACATGTAACATGATTGGCGCTATCATACAGTACTGACCGACGGTATGCCCAAATGGATTGTGTTTGAATGAATTGTGAAAACAAAGCTTTTGCAAACAAAGCAAAGCATAATAAGCAGTAAAAATCTATAAGCACTTTTTAAAAAAGCTACACACTATGTTAGAGTTCAATACATAATAAAAAAAAAAAATTTTGGAAAATAATCTGAAACAAAAAAACTGCAAAAATTAGTGTTACCTTGAATTTCAAGATTGCAGCTTTTAAACACTTGATTTCCCATAGAGTCTGAAGCTTCACAAAAGTAAGTTCCCTCATCAACACGCTTTATGTTCATTATTTGAAGATTCCCTAAATGAACAGAAATAACATTGTACATAAGAAAATTAAACATATAATATACTCTTCCTTTTTTATCTTATTTTTTTAAAAATCTATTTATGTTCTAAATGAGAATTTATTTCAAAGAGAAAAATGTTACAATATAAAAACCGACCAGAAAACTTATGACATTCAGAATTTAGAAAATTTTGTTGGTTGTAAAAAAATGTGCTACTCGGTACAAACAATCATAAACCTTTAAACTAAACAGTCCTTGATTTGAGTACCAACTTTCTCAAACTCAATTTTTAATGCAGGAGCTACTGCATGAAAATTATGTAGAAATATTGGTTTCAGAAATCGACCGCCAAACTTTTTAGACGCCCTTTTTCGGCTTGTTCCGGCCTTTCTCTAATTGCTTTTTTTCTTCTCTCCTCCAAACCCTGAGCATGTACCTACGTTACGAAAAACCCTTAACCATATAGCCCAGGACTTGGCCACTAGTCCAGCTCTACTCCAGCCTAGGAACGGGTCCAGTCAGCGGTATTAATTTTTCTACTTAACATGATATTTAAAATAAAATAAAAACTTTTTTTTCCTTTCCTTTTTTCTTTTTTTTAACTGAAAGTGTGGAATTTAAGAAGAAATAAGGGAGGATGGTTACAAATAAAATACAGTATTTGGATTACGTAACAGATGAGTAACACAAAAACATAAGCTGAAGATTTTGACAATAATCGGAAGTTGTGAAAACTCTCAAGGAGGATAGATAACAGGAATTTTGAAAAGAAATATAAAAAGAAGATTAAATGTCATCTGTAAAAGTCTACAGTGCTGAAATAAAGAGTTTTAAAAAAATTTCTTCAGAATAAGATGAGAAATAAGAGTCCCAATGTAAGAAGTCTACAGTGAGGAGAAAAGAGTTCATGAAATTTCTCTAGTGAATGATATATTCAACAGTTTGTGAATAAATTAAGACGAGGCTGAGAAGTTACAGCTTCATGCAATGAGAAGAGCTGCACATGAGAGTGGAATAATCTCTCCGAACCCAGCTCAGGAGACACACATGCGAACTCCCAAGTATTTCATCAAACATGTAAAATGATTGGCTCTTTCATACGTTATGGACTGGCGGTACGCCGAAATAGATTGTGGAGGAATGAATTGTGAAAAGGTTGAATAGAACAATGTGAAAAGCACGCTTTTGTATAATACATGGCGAAAATTGGCATGATAAAGAAAAAAATCTCATTTTCGAAAAGGGAAAATTAAGCACGTTTTAAAAACTCTACGCATCATGATGTAAAATACATTTTATATTTATAAAGAGAGAGAGTATTGTTACCTCCTTGTTGTTGATATCTTTCATCAGAGAGTTCTTTATCGTCATCTCTTCTCCAACGTATTGTAGGTTTTGGATTACCAGCTGCTGCACACTCTAAAGTCAGATTTCTACCAAGGGCAGCAGAAACTTTGGAAGAAGGAGTTTTAACTAATGATACCGCCTTAAACTCAGTTGGTTCTGAAAAAGAAACAGGAAAATAAAGAAAAATAAATTCATTTTCTCCCCATAAGCATTATAAATATTAAACAAACTTTGTTATTTTGGTTACTAAAAATGTATCCAATTAGTGGTGATGGTTACATCTGCATTATTAAAATTAAAATTTTGAAAATTCTCTTTCCCCTCCCCCATTTTAATTACATAAAAATACATAAGACTCACCAGGAACACTACATCCCTGGTCATTACATAAAGGTTATGATTAAGCTTAAGCTAACAACAAGACAATATGTAAATAAGTTATTTATTATGAAATATGAAAATCACTGCGTAAATGCAATTTGTCTTAAAACTCTCAGCTGATCAAAATATCTTGAAATTAATTAATTAATAGAACAATTAAACACACATATTTATAAAAAAGGAAAAATTGCTTTCATTCATTATACGGCTTTTGAGGGTAATATGGTGCGATTGGGTGTAGAAAACTAATGGATGAAAAGGATCTTAAAAATTTATTCTTATTCTTTAAATTGCAGGATGTTAAAAAACAGATTACTTAAGCTACACTTGGGCTCCATTTAAGAGTAGGCTTAGAACCATTAAACACTGTCTTTACAGCATCACTGAGGTAGGGATAGCCTGGTTGGTAGGGCACTGGGCCCATGTTAAAGTGGTCGTGGGTTCGATCCTTGCCGGCTGGAAGAATCCCCATGTACTAAATGATGACTGATGCACGTTAAATCTGTCGAGTCTCAAAGTCCTCCATGTTCCCATAACAAATATCAAACCTCTGGGGGTACTGAATTGGAGATTGATCGTTCTCTGATTCCGATCAAAATTACGATCTGTGGATGAATTAATGAATGGGTCCGCCCTATAAACGGGTGTTACGTATGGGTGTGGCAGAAGTCGAATTCTTGGCCATAGATGGCGCCACTGGAAAACAAGAACAATCGCACCCCCTCTACCTTAATGGCATACGTCAACAACAACAGCATCCCTGGAGATGATTTTAGCAAGAGTTAAAAATTAGATTGATAAAGCAGAATTTGAACTAATGAAAATATTTTAGAGTGGGATTCAGAAGACGGGATGAATAACGACTTTAAAATATCGGGTAAATTGTACAATTCTATATAAGGTCTATATTGGTTGAGTAACGGCTATGAAATATCGGGGCAATCGGACAATTTTATGTAGGGTTTATATTGGCTGAATAAGGCTATAAAATATCGGATCAACTTAACAATCTGTATAGGGTCGATATTGACGAAATAAGGGCAATAAAATATCAGATGCATCGGACAATTCTACAGCGATCCAATATTGGCAAAATAATGTCCCTTTAAAACCTTGTTGATCCAAGAATGGTGAATATTGGCCTAATGAGTTTCCAAGTTATTTTGCTGCCAGGGAAACAACATTGCAAATAAAAAAAGTTACTAATTTTCATAATTTGTACATTGTTTACTTAAAACTTTGTATTTATTAAACTATTTTTCATGCATATTTAGTTTAAATTTGAGAGCATTATCTAGGCATATTGTCTGCTATAAGTTTAACATAAGCCAATAAAAGCTTTTTTGCTTTATTTACGAATTATTACATAAATAAGGTAGTAAAAGACTCTTTAAAAAAAAGTGGTACTGAAATATCAGATAAAAATAAGTAAATTTTACCTATTATGTGCAGAATGATTTTTCGCTTTGACTTCACTCTTTCAGCCAAATACGGATTATTTGCAATGCAAATGTATTCACCCGAGTCTTCACGTTTAGCATCAAAAATCTGTAGATCTCCAGATGGCATTATATGTTTATTACCTAATATAAAACATTGACAAATCAATGATATTAATAAAATAACTACAAGAATTAATGACTCCTACAATTTCAAATAACTAAAAAATGTCGATTTATATACCTGTAGTTCTGTCGATGATTTTATTGTTGAAAGAAAATTCCGTGACAACTGTGGGAATACTATGAGGTGGATCGCATGGAATTACAGCTGTGTTACCAACAATTGCAGAGATGTGCAGAAGAGGTTGTGGAGGAAAGTCATCCAAAACTAAAATAAAAGTTTTTCTTATTTATTTCAAATAAAAACATGTGTAACTATAAATGGAAATAAAATCTCTTAAAAGAATCAGTATAACTATTTAAAAAATGTAAAAGTAGTCTAAACACTTAAATAACTGGGTCTCTGAGGAAAAAAAAGCCTGGATTTCTTTCAAGTTACCTCATTAAAAATCAATTTTTAAACTTACAAATACATTGTGCTGCAATTTAGAAAAATTATGTAAGCCTGGTGGCAAAATTTTTTTGGGCTTTCTGTAACATACCTCACTAATATTAATATCTTTCTGCAAGATACTTAAAATAACAAATATACATGTTGCTAATTTAAAGTAAGCGAAGCGCTAACTTTAAAATAAATAAAATCAGATCAAATAAAAAAAAAATTTTAATTGAATATTTAATATTTTTTATGCTATTATTAGGGCGATACTTTCGCATTTTGTAGGAAGATAACACACTATTTCCTTTTTCACATTTTATAATTCATCATCACAAAAAAAATTGTGAAATCTGTATCAGTAACTTCTTCTTTTCCTCATTGACACGACAGCCCAGGATGGGCCTTGGCCTTCTCAACAAGCCTATACCAAGACATTTTTTCCTTAGCCAAGGTTCTCCAATTTATTGTCCTTAAAACCTGTAGGTCCTTTTCAAAACAGTCTAAAAATATTAGGTTTGGCCGTCCTCTTTTTCCTGTACCTGTTGGCCTAGCACTGGAAACTTTTTTGGTTGTCCTGCTATCCTCCATTCCTATAATGTGGCCTGCCCAATTAATCCTTTGAATTTTGATAAATTTAATGACATCAGGTTCTTTATATGCTTTGTAAAGTTCTGTGTTTGCTCTTCTAAACCAGGTACCGCTTTTACTTATTCCACCAAAAATGCTTCACAGTATTTTTCTCTCAAATCTAGCTATCATATTTTCATATCCACGGGTCACATGGTCTAGGTCTCACATGCGTATGTAAGCGCTGATCGTATTAAGACATTTATAGAATAACACTTACAGTTTTCTTTTTATTAGGTTTGACTTGTAGCAGTAAGTACAGAAAACAAAATTAATGCCGTCGAAATCATGCAAATTGGACTCTTCTAAAAGGGGTTACTAAATGTGTGTTTTCATTTCGAGATTCAGTTGCTTTAATAAATAATATTGCATTAAAAATTTCGAATTTTCAAAGCTATGTGGAAATTAGTAGTGATAACTGTATGAAAAAATAGAATGAAAATTTCTACAATAAAGAAAAAATTTTTTAACTTCATTATTCTTCATTTTTCCTTTTTCTCAAATGAGAATAGAAAAATCATAAACATTTTTTTTCTACTCCAATGTGCCAGAAAGGCATCTTTTGAATATAAGTCTGAGAAGATAAAATCTTTCAAAAATTTCTGCAGAAAAGAAAGTCAAAATTTTTTACTTCCCAAAGGAAAAATCTTTCTGCAAGAACTCAGTAGCCTTCTGCGACAATGTCGCTGTGGCACCACGATTCTGTCACGGGGTAAAACATCCTCAGTGGTAGATGGATCAGGGTTTAAAGTCCCCTTGCTGTCAGGCTAACAACAGGATGTTTTCCTCCTTATATAACACAAATGCAAGTCAGTTCCATCAAAAAGTACTCCACAAAGGAGAATTTCTTCCAATACTTGGATCCAGGATTTCCCTTTCTTCTGGATTGGGTTCAAAATTACAAGGCTATATTTGAAACTGCTAACTCAAAACTTGGGTCAGCTATTCAACGATGGTTTCAAAATAAAAATCATTGCAGTTAACCCACCTTAGACTGGGCTTGCTTCTGATTCAAGTTCCAATAGGTTCAAAGTGAAAAACTCGGGATGTTAAGGTGAATAAGTTCACTTGGCAAACCTGTCCAGCAAATTTAGCTCTGCATACACGCTTAATCCAATTCATTTTTTAAAAACAGACAATATTTTTTATAAAACCTTTTTAACAATGATTACCTGCAATGTATAAGTTTGCGGGAGGGCTGACTAAAGCTTTTCCTTTAAATCGGATTTCACACTGAAAATAAGCATCACTGAAGAATTCTAAGAAGTGTGCAGATCTCGATGAATTGTCCATTTTCCCAAAAAGAACGGTTAATTTTTGATCAGAAACTTTAATCCAGCGGTTGTGAGGAAGTGGTCCACCCTTAAATGACCATAGAATTTCTGCACCAGGTGGAGATGCCTCGCATCGAAAAACTGCACGACCCTCACTTGTTTTAACCAGGCGGGATATGGGTTCTTGAATAAATTCTAAATTGGAATCTGAAAGAAAAAAATATATATATAAGATTTGAAGTAACACTATAGGATTCAAAGATTACAAACAAATTTACACGAGCCACGATGGCTCAGGGGATAGAGCGTCCGCCTTCCAATGAGGTGAAACGGGTTCAAATTCCAGCGACGGCTGGTCGGTATAAATCCGGATTTCACCTACCACAGTGCTGACAAATATCCTCTGTGGTAGACGGATAATGGATTAGAGTCCCTTAGCCCTCAGGCTAGCTGTGGGAGGTTCTTGTGGTCTTCCTCTCCACGTAAAGCAAATGACAGTACTTAACTGTAATGACAGTACAGTAAACAGTACTTATCAGTTGAAGGGACCATCTATAAGGCAACTGCTGTTTCCAAGAGAGTCGCCAACACGAATATTGTTTCGTAAAACTGATAAGTACGAATAATGTGTTGCTATGTGTTGTAACAATCCATCAGGATATTTTTTTCCAATGTTTTAACAATGTATGATGCTATTCTCTTAAAATTTACTAATTTACACTATATGTTTACATAGTCAACATTTTCGCTACCCGAATAAAATGTTTCAATTGTTACGAGAATGCCATTTTCAATAATTATCATTATGTTAATATTTGCGATATTATCTTTTTGAAATGTTATATGTTATCAGCATAATTTTAACATAATTAAAAACATATTTAAAAAAAATAGTTTTTGGTATAAAACCAGGTTTTTTTTTTAAGTTTTTTTTTTATTTACACTGTTTTTTTTTAAAGCAATATTTCGAATAATGAAATTAACCTAAATTAAACTTACCAATCCTTTACTGAAATTACAGCCCTTAATTGAAATTAACTGAACCACTGTAAACTATTTCATAATATGTAACTATAACATTCAACTATTATATAATGTCCCCAGTAATGATTCAAAACTATCCACTTTTGCTCTTTAAATATAACATAATAATAAGAAAAAGAATACTTTACATATGCTTTTATATTACTTTACAACTCAACTTAACATACAAATAAACACAAACATTTTAATTTTATTTCAGTAATATTTGTTAAAGGATAATTTCTTTCCTTGCTTGTCTGTAATACAATGATACAATACTTCAATATTATTTAATTAATATCATTATTTAGCTGTATACAATTTATTTTTATGAAATATACATTTCCTATTTTTTTCCTTTTTTTAAAAAATTTATTTAATCAATACAAATTTTAATATAATTAAGGCAATATATTGTATACATTTTATATTATAATAATATTTTTAAAAAAAAATACTCAAAAATAATGAAATGATAAAAAGATATAAAAATAACATAGGTTGCATATAAAAAAGTAAAAGTTTTAGTACTAATAGTTTAATAATAATAAGAGTATGGAATTGCTCTGATTTTCCTGATGAAAAATATTTTGTCCTTATTTGTTCATTATTTTCAACTATTTGTCATGCTATTTATGCTTTGCACATTCAAAACATCCAATTTTCATTGAATACTAATGCAGTTCTTAAAATAATATGTTTAAATACTCAAAATATTTCAATTTTCAATCTATTATTCTTTTATTTTAATTAATAGTTCATCTAGAAAATTACTTTTGAACATTAATGCTAAGACGCATAGTCACTGTGTTTTCGCTTCCAAAATTATTGAAACCCCACTTTGAAATATTTGATTAAAGAACTCAAATTCGCTTATAATTTTAAAATATTGGTATGCAGGAATACCAACTAATTGATGTCGACTAATTTTTAATGAACAGTACTATTAATATTTACTAAATATTGTTCTGTTATGAATTCCTCAGTACTCTATTAATAAAACTCTGAATGTATTATAAAGGAATTCGCAAGTCATGAAAGTCTTAGCAGAAATTGAAGGGAAAATATAATTTTGATAAATTGGCGAATTAAACGGGCATAAAAACAGATTTTTTCGGAAGGGACCAAATAATATTTTAGTACCTATATTATACTTTTCACTAACATTGATTAGTTTTTATTGTAATTTTAAATGACATTTATATTTTATGGTACTAACACAGTTTTAATTATAATTGTTTATTGATCATAAAACTGAGTTTATTTAATCAAAGCGTTATACTATGCATTAAATACCATTGAAAAGTAAATTTCCACAAAAATTTTGAATTTAAGATTGAACATTGCAATGCCCTTCCTTTTAATCGAATAACCCGCTTAATTGCATAGATTTGGCTGGAACCGATGGTATTCCTTTAAGCGGGGTTGACTGTACCTACATTTATATGTTAAATTGTGATACTATTGCAAACATTTACTTTGTTAGGTTTATTCTCCACTGCTTAGATTTTACGAGGGGGATATTAATAAATTTTTAAATGATTTCAAATTTTAAAACTATTTCTTAAATAAATACTTTTTTTAAAAAAATGCACCTTTAAATGTTCATTTTCTGATTGTTTTCACTTAAAATTATAGAAAAAAGCTTCCAAGCTGTTTATCATGTAATCATTTTTTGTTAGTTTACTTCTTTTGAAGGCAAAACAAATATGCACAGAAATCGCTTTTTAGCAAGCTTTTAATTATTTTTTTAAACAACAAATTTTTCTCATCTTTTGATAATGAGAGAATTACTTTTTGAAATCTACTCATAAAATAGGGAAATTTAAAAATTTATAAAGATCAATCAAATGTTTAAATGTCAAGGACTTAATTTGTTATTACCTAAAAAGATACACCGATGCTAAATTACACAGGCTCATAAAAATTTGCAAAGGGAAAAAGAGTTGTTCAATGATTTGAATTATTTTCAAGGATGAGAAAGAAAAAAATCTCGCCAAATTGGCGATTTAAAAAAAAAAAAAAAAAAACGTTTCGTAACTTTTAAAGTTATTTTTCCGTTCTAAAGCTCAGATAATTCTTTACGGCATAGTTAAAAGTTATTGCTTGGTTTAAGGCGCTTAAACTTATTACTTTCGTTGGCGAATAGCTTCGAAAATCACTGATAATAAAGAGAATCCGCAAGAGTTATTGGGTGAGAAAAACCAGGTGCAAATAGAACATGCGAAGTAGTTACTACGTTAAGGCGGCACAACCGGTCGCCGGATGCGGCTAGCATGAATACCATCTATTTGAATTTAGTACCTTAAAAATGACATCGGAGAAATGTAACGATTTCAACAATGACTATTGCGCAATTTTTGTTTTATTATATGTTTCTTTCCGCACTTTTACATAAAAATTCCACATCCATTATTAAAAATAATAAGTAAGTCATAAAAAAAAAAATACCAATCCCCTCAATCTCTCCAATACGAATTCCAGGTGATGCCAATCTTACGCAAAAGAATAATAAAAAATAAAAATTCGTGCGGCCTTGTGTTTTTCTACGTGAACAAGTTGAGAAATGAGCCAAGAGAAAAAAAGAGGGAAGAAAAAAAAAGCTGCATATTAGGTTCCATGTGCGAAAGAACTTTCTTATTAATGCAATTTTAGTTTTCATTAAACTGTCAGGGAAAAGGCGTCTTAATAATCTCTCTCAACGCCGACATCAAATGTGGGCTCCGATTGAGGTCAAATCCAAGGTCCCCTTTCTTCTTTCCCCCCTTCACCACCGAAGAAAAAAGAGGCATAAAATAAAAACCAAAGATAACTAAGTTGGTCTGGTTTTAACATTTTTTTTTATTATCACAAGTATATCTGTTATCCATACGCATGGAACAAGTAGTGTGAGGTATGTCACTTATAGATCATAACTTACAATAAATTCTATAACTTTTTATAACCGTCGTTGAACAGGCGACCCAATTTTTGGGCTTATGACTATTAATGTTCCAACTCCGTAGCCTTGTAATTTTGAACCCAATCCAGAAGACAAGTGAACTCCTGGATCAAGTATTGGAAGAAATTTGCCTTCGTGGAGGACTTTTTGATGGAACTAACCCGCATTTGCGTTACATGGGGGGGGGGAAGACCACGAGAACCTCCACACGGTTAGCCTAACGGCAAGAGGGCTCTAACCCATGATCCGTCTATCACTGAGGATATTTCACGTCAGCACTGTGGTCGGTGCAAGCCGGATGCAGAATTCTTATTGACCAGCCATCGCCGGAATTCGAACCCGGTTCACCTCATTGGAAGGCGAACGCTCTATCTCCTGAGCCATCGCGGCTCTTACAATAAATTTGTAGAGGATGATCCGAAGACATGCCATCACAGTTTTGATCCTCTGTAAAGGGAACTCTTGAGTTCAGTAACAATTTTTTTTTTTCCTTTCAAGAATTATCTATAAGAATCGAAATCGAAAAATCGTCGAAATCGAAGAATAGCTAAATCAAATTTTTTTTGCATACGATTATAAAGTTGGTTTATCTAAAGGTAATTATGTAGAAAATTTTGTTTAAAATTATTTATTATTATTATTTTTAATAATGATCAAAAAAAATTTCAACTATAAAGTAAGTAAATTTTCCGCATTGCGGCTAGCCTCTATATTTTGCTGATCCAAAATTCAAATCCGTCGACAAAAAGGTATGCTTATTCAGAGAAAGAACAATATTATACCTGATTTAGAGACTCAAAATATCGTCTGCACTAATTAAGTAACATATTTGAGGTCACCCGCATGAACCATTAAGTTTGAGTCCAAGTACGTGAAAATCCAATCATTAGGGATCAAAAATTACTCAGGTGTTCTATTCTTTTTACTTTACGCACTGTACATGAGGTCCAGAACGTTTAGCCTGTTTTTTGAACAATAAAGAAGTCCTTTACTCTACATTTGTTTGGTTTTCAAAATAGTTCGTTTCCCATAGATTGTAAAATATCTGGGTTTTTATAATTTTTTTTTTTTATTGCAAAAGCACTTGATGTAAAGTCAAGTGCTTTTGCAATAAAAAAATAATAATAATTTGGGATAAATACCAAAAATTCATAAATACCTGGGTATTTATCAATTTTATTGAAAATTCAATGGTTAAGTTTTTCTTTATACACGATTATATACATTTTAGACACAAGTTTTGCTTACATTGTCATTTACTATGAAGAAAAATTGATTCAATTGAACAATTGAGTTTATTAAAATCGTTATTTTTTAATTTTCTTTATTAAGTTACGGTTTAATTCTCTTTAAATTCACAATTCCAGTATTTGTGGTTTTAAAAGTAACATGTAAACAATGAGTTTCGGCAGAAATATATATTTTTAAAATGCTAAAAATTTATTCCAGTTTAATGTAATTTATTTCAATAAGTTTATCATACAAAACTTTTTCTGCATATGAATAGTACATAATTCCTTATTTGATTGTGATACGAAGATATCTTTCTGAATAATGATAATAATAATATCTAATGAGTTAAATCGGCTGTAAAAATTTTTGAGTTTTTGTTTCATTATTACTAATGAATTAAGAAATATAGCTTAATATATGCAGCGTTTTCAAAGGGGTATAAAATATATGCTAGCTTGAATGTTTTAAAATAAGTTTCACTGAGATTGTGAAACTTCTTTCCCTATGGAAGAAAAAAACTACTCTGGGAGGGGAAAAAAAAAAAAAAAAACTTTTTTCCTCTATTTAAAATTGTATATCTTTAGCAGAAATTTAAAAAAAAAAATTATGAACGAAAAACTTTTAAGTTGTCTTTAAAAAGCTTCATCATTTCTGAACAAAAATCTTTCATAACTCAAAAAGTATTCCTGTTAACGCTAAAACATTATCACAGCATACAACAGGGTGAGTAGCCAAATTTTTCAAAGAAAAATAAGCACTTTTCAAGCACTCTGAAATATTTTTAAACACTTTAGAAAAAAATAATAATTAGGCAGGGTTGGCAAGTTTTTGATTATTGACGGTTCTAACCGTCATGACAAAAAAAAAAAAAAAAAAAAAAAAAAAAAAAAAAAAAAAAAAAAAAAAAANGTTTTTGACAGTTGTCAAAAATCATGAAATTTTGAATCATGTAAAACGAATGGCGTTTTCATATGTTACGACCGATGGTAGGCTGAAATAGATTGAGGTTGCAATAGAACAATGTATTTTTGCGTAATTCGTGGAGAAAATCAACATGGTAAAGGAAAAATTTCATTTTGGAAAAGGGAAAATTAAGTACTTTTTAAAAAACCCCAATGAAAAAAGCACCTTTAAGGGCTTTTAAAAAACGAAAATGGGAAATAAGCACCTTTAAGAACTTTTAAAAAACGAAAATCGGAAATAAGCACCTATAAGCACTTTTTAAAAACGCTACGCCACCCTGGATAAAATCTCAAATACCCCCCAAAAATCATTCTTAGAAAAGGTACATCGAAAAAGGCAAGTTTTAGCATTATTGATACTCCCCTTTAACTGCTTATGCAAATGAAAATATTTGTGTTCATTTGCATTCGCGTAATCTAATTGAACTTGTACGCTATTACAGCAAAGTTGCGCTATATTAAGATTCATTGCACAACGTTCCATAACTCTTCTAAAAGTGTATCTTGAATTACAATATTCATTCGTCGTTTATTTATTTCTCAAAGAAAAAGATAATGTGCAAAGTAGGCTGTGAGAGAAGTAGTTAAGAGGGGTAACCTAATGTTTAGAATTTACAAGCATTATAGCAGCACTGCCTTTTATTACATGTGAATCTCGTTGTGGCACATCCGCCAGGTCTACCTTTGACTGTTTTCCAATTACATCCCTTAATAACCTTTAATGGTTATTCCAAAAGACCGTGGGGAATCCATTTTCCGACTTTTATGTCCATGTCCCTTCTACGCCAATCGTTATCGGCGACTAGCGTGTGATTAGGGAACTGGCTAAATTAGAACCTTTGTACTTCTTCACTTCTAAAGAACAGCTTTTGTTACTTTCTTTTTTTTCTTCTTTTTACCAAGGGTTGCTGCGAGAAGACTTCAAACTCGATTAGTTTTGCTTTTATTTCCTCTCAAGAATAGGGATACAATTCTTTTTTTTTTTTTTTATCCTAAATGGCTGTGGTAGGAAATCTTAAGATTTATTATTGGTAGTATTTCTTTTATGCTAAATATTCATGGTATAACCCTTTGAACTAAAAATTGAGATCTTGATATTTAATAGTTAAGGCTGTTTTTCCAAGGATCACGTGAAATGGCGCTTTTCAGCGAATAATTAAGTCATTTTCATAACTGCTACGTGTTTGTAAGAGTCATTCACGAATGTTAGGTCAAGTTTAGCCAGCGCTCTCTATGCTAATTTTGAAAATGGCGCAAAACGTCGATATGAAGAAAAAAAAGATTAAGAACTAATTGATTTTGATAGTTCTCATAAACGTAGATCTTACTAAATTAGCGAGTTTTTTTTTAAAATTAATATTTTAAAAATATTTTTCCTTTTAAAAGCCCAGATAATTTTAATATTTATAGTTTAAAATTATAGCTTTTCTTCAAGGCATATAAACTACTTTTTAATTTACTTGCGTGGAAATGTTCCGAAAAACATTGTTCACAAATAATGAAACTAGGAGCTTTAAGCTGGAAAAAAAAGCTTTAACTTGAAACTCGAGAATACATGGTATATATTTGCATATTTTTTATGAAGAATCTGAAATAGTGGTCTAGTGGTAGATATTACACTGTTAGAAAATATTGCCAGATTAGATATTGCATTTATATATATTTTGGAATTTTCAGGGGGGAAAATGGTTCAATTAAAGAGTCTTAGAGTAAGGTGCTATCTATTTATAAATAAGTAAATAATCTATACATAAATAACCTATTTATAAATAAGTAAATCAGAGTTGGCAAGGTTTAGGACAGAATGGATTAATCCGCGGTTAAAACCGGGTTTAAACCGTCCTGTCCAAAACAGCTTTGCCCAAAAACCTCTTTATTAAAATTATGTCACAAATTAATAAAAATATTGTGAAAAAGGATAAGATATTCAATTTTGTTGTTCAATGAATTGTGGAGCTACAAAACTTATATTTTCCTGTTATATAATATTATATATTATTTTCCTTTAATAAGTTGAAGCAAATTGTATAAAAAATATCAAATATTATTAATATGTAATTACAGTAGGGAACCGATTATCCGAAACGATCGGGACCATCGCTATTCCGGATAATTGATTTTTCCGGTTTTCTAAATCGCTACAAAAAGCCGTTTTTTTTATTGTTAAACCCAACTAAAAAATATATATATATATATATATATATATTTAGAAATAATCTTAAAAAAAAAAAGAAAAACGATGAAGTAATACACTAATGATTATTTCCAAAATGATGGTAAGGTAAACATCTTTAAAAAAAGAACAAAAAATCCTGAAATCTAATGAAGAAAAAAAAAATTTTTTTTTAAAAAGGCGGGAAAATTTATCAAATTTCGTTCCGGTTTTCTGATTTCCGGATAACGGGTTCTGTACTGTATTATGTGCACAATGGTTACACCTATAGAATTTTTACCTTTTACCAAAGTTCAAGGTTTTGGACACTATAAGACAGTTTTAGTCAGTTTAGGACAGTTTTAAGACAGTAAAACCAACGTGTCCTGTCCAAAACCCCAATCCTGAAGTAAATGATTTCAAGCAGTCAAAGCTGGAACCAATAAATTTATACATAATTTTCAAATTCGTATCTCGGGACATATAGATTATGAGGACCTTAAAGCCCATTTCGCATGTAGGAAAAACGGCAGATTATGATTTACGCCGGTCATCTTGTTTGATAAAACAGGTGTATCAAATATGGCAATATCACGATGGTGAACGATAACAATACTTATCGAATACGATAACATCGCGATCATTATTGACAAGGGTCTGTCCAGACATTTTGTGAAAGGTCCGGTTTTTGTGAAATCGTGAAAAAAATACTCACATTCTTTCAACCAGGGTCCTGCTTTTATGAAATTGTGCAAATAGGGTCCGGTTATTGCAAAAAAAACTTTCTCAATGAGTTTTTAAATTGTAAATAGATATAAGATTATGCTCAGCAATGCAAAATTATAAAAAAAAAAAATTTAAATTTTCAAAAATAAACAGCAATTGCTGCTTCTAAATTAGAGATGCAACATACAAATATTTGGTATTTAGCCTACACTGCTGAACGCAGAATGGAAAAATCGTCTGCCGAAGACAAAACTTAATTCGTTTACATCCATCTTTCTTGTTTTCTGCCCTGGGAGGGGTTTATTCAATTAACAAAACAATAAAGCTGATAAACAAATTTGTGAAGGGTCCGATTAAAAGAAAAATCATTTTGTGAAGGGACCGATTTTAAGTCAAAATATTTTGTGAAGGGTCCGTTTTTATGAAAACATATTTTGTCAAGGGTCCGTTAACGGACCCAAATTTTTCTAAACAGACCCCTGATCGATAACATAATATATCAACAAACAAAAATAATAATAAAGCGAATATTTTATACTTATTGAATACGATATTGTTGCGATTGATAAATTTTACTGGGGTCACTAAAATATTGACAATGTAAAAATAATACACAGATTACTTCAATTGGAAAAATATTGCGACATAATGTAAAGATAGATATTTTTTGACAACACATCTCAATATTTAAATTCGGCAGATTGGTTGTGGGTACGAACGTTCGAATTGGCGACAAGTTGGATAATTAGTCATCAACATGTGGTCCCTATAATCGACAAGCATCATAATCTCTTTTTAAAATTTGTACAGCAGACTAAAGGCATTAAAAGTTAGACATTATTGAAATATCTTAGAAACAAAAACAAGTCAATGATGTGAAACAAACTTACTTGAAAATGCAACAGAAAATAAAGAAGCCAAAATTACTACAAAAGCTATTTCGTTGGAACACATTCTAGTCCTTTTATAGTCAGCTCATTGACACCTACATAAAAATAAAAACAATAAAAATTAGTTTCATAGACAATTAAGATGAAATTAAATCGCACAGTAAGTTTCTTAAGTCTGTCTACAAAAAAATATAGTACAATTGATTTCTTAGGATTTCTACGCAAAAATTATTTTGCTTAAAAATTTTCCCTGATTATCTTACAAAAATATTATATCACACATCATACAATTAATTTTTCATACTATCGACCAAAAAAAAAAACAAATTTAATTGATTTCTCAGATTATATGAAAAAAAAATCAAAATTACAATGATTTTATTTTTTTCCAGGTTATCTACAAAAAGTTACTAAACACCATTTTCCAGGCCACCTTCAAAAAATATAAAGCATAGCTAATTTTTTAGACTATTTTCAAGACTACCTACAAAAACAAAAACAAAAAAAACAAAAAAATTCGTACAATCAATTTTACATAATTTAAAAATACAAATGTTTTTCAGGCTTCCTGAACAAAAATTATTTTGTACAATAAATTTTAAATCACGTGAAACTTTTTTTCCTTCGCAGCATTTTTCATTTTGCTTTTTGAGAAAATTTTGAAAATAAAAGGATTTTAATAACTTACCTAAGCATTGTTAAGTACTCCACACTTGACAAACATAATAAGCAAATCACAACCCCCTTTCCCGCGTCATGAATACGTAAAAGATAGGTTAGATAACTTTTAAGAATAAAAAACAGGGACTAAGAATTTTAATAAATAAAAAATCTATTACTAGATCACTTTTTTAGTTCTTTATTGCAGTTGCAATTTCTACACTATTTTCTCTAGACAAAAAATATTCGAACAAAACAGATTTAAAAAAAAAAAAAAAAACTAGGAAGAGGTTGTCACCTCTTAACAACTGCCCCGCATGACAGACCTTTTAAAAGGACCTTTCTCTGCATTTTATTCATTGTTCAGTGAATGGGGGGGGGACATGACTGGGGGTTGGGGTATTCTTTTGTTACTCTCAAGGCACACATTATTAAATTCCCAGATGTTCAAATTCTTTTGACAAGGAAGAATTCCACAAGCACTTCAAACTGGATAACATGCGTACATTTTCTTGTTTGCCTATTTCAACCCCAGGCTCTTTTAAGTTTAAAATCTGTGTGTTTTTTAAAGTTTGTCTCAATGGAATTTTTCGTAGTTNAAGCATAGCTAATTTTTTAGACTATTTTCAAGACTACCTACAAAAACAAAAACNAAAAAAAAAAAAAAAAAATTCGTGCAATGAATTTTACATAATTTAAAAATACAAATGTTTTTCAGACTTTCTGAACAAAAATTATTTTGTGCAATAAATTTTAAATCACGTGAAACTTTTTTTTTCTTCCCTGCATTTTTCATTTTGCTTTTTGAGAAAATTTTGAAAATAAATGGATTTTAATATCTTACTTAAGCATCGTTAAGTACTCCACACTTGACAAACATAATAAGCAAATCACAACCCCCTTTCCCGCGTCATGAATGCGGCTTCTTAATTATTTTGGCATTAACATTTATGCACTTAATTTAAGTTTCTTTTATCCAAAATCCGTAAGAGATAGGTTAGATAACTTTTAAGAATAAAAAAACTGAGACAAGAATTTTAATAAATAAAAAAATAATAAAAATCTATTACTAGATCACTTTTCAGTTCTTTATTGCAGTTGCAATTTCTACACTATTTTCTCTAGACAAAAAACAAAAAATATTCGAACAAAACAGATTTAAAAAAAAAAAAAAAAACTAGGAAGAGGTTGTCACCTCTTAACAACTGCCCCGCATGTCAGACCTTTTAAAAGGACCTTTCTCTGCATTTTATTCATTGTTCAGTGAATGGGGGGGGGGCAGGACTGGGGGTTGGGGTATTCTTTTGTTACTCTCAAGGCACACATTATTTAATTCCCAGATGTTCAAATTCTTTTGACAAGGAAGAATTCCACAAGCACTTCAAACTGGATAACATGCGTACATTTTCTTGTTTGCCTATTTCAACCCTAGGCTCTTTTAAGTTTAAAATCTGTGTGTTTTTTAAAGTTTGTCTCAATGGAATTTTTCGTAGTTCATTTTGCATATTATTTTAAAGGTATAGAACAGAATTAATTTGTAAACACACATTTATCTTAATTTAATATGCAGTTTTTTTTTCTTTCCCAAAAGCAATTTCAGCAAAAATGAAATTTTTTCCTGCAAGAGAAAATAAAGAGATTCCCAAGCAGTGATCACAGGGACAGTAGCCAGATTTTTCAATAAAAAATAGGCACCTTTTAAGTACTTTTTAAACACTCAAAAAATATTTTAATCGCTTTCCAAAAAAGAAAATCATAATTAGGATCTGTGCTGTAATAAAAATCATTTTTTTCCCTATCGTTTAAAGTTCTTAATTTATAAACATAAAATCAATAAAATTCATAAAAATTTTCCAAAACTTCACATAATCTTGATAAAATAACTAGTTTCTGATAAATATCGCAGAAAAAATTGTGAAAATGCCGAATTTTTTGAAATTTAGAAAAATTGACACGGCAATGAAAAAAATCTGTCTTTAAAGTATAGAAAATTAGGCACTTTTTATAAGCCCCGGATAAAGCAAAGCATCTTTAAAGACTTTTAAAAAATGTAAATAAAAAATAAGCACTTTTTAATAACGCTAAGCACTCTGGACCTATTTTGAACGAATTAAAAATTCAGGGATCATATCTTATACAAGAGGCGGTACAATGCGTATTTTAATTTATATATTACACACACGGTACAGCATAAAAATGAAAAGTATTTATATAGAAAGATTGAGGGTCAAGAGTAATGCATGACCAGCGGTCGAAAAAACTACATTTTCTTTGTGGTCAACTACAACTACTTTTTTTTTAAATGTAGCGACGACTACTAATTACTTTCGAAATGTAGAAGACAATCATAACTGAGAACTTAATTTTCACCAATATTCAAAATGATTTTGAATAAATAATTGGCTTAGTCAAATATGAGGAGATATTAAGAATATATTAAGAAAAGAATTCAAAATAATTAAAGCAATTAAAAACAGTACTTCCAGTGGAAAAACGCGCTAAGCCGCTGAGAATCCAAAAGGAATTGAAACAAAAGAAACAAGGAAAAATAAATAAATATGACAACTGAAGCTGTCGTCTTCAGGGGGTACCAGCTCCGGAAGCAAAACCTTTTCTATCGAGAGGGTACGACAAATGTTCAAATTGCTCTTTCTGTACCCTGAAGGTTTTGTCAAAGTTCAGGAAGAGAATACAATATAAAATACATAAAGCAAATACAGAAGTATAAAATCAAGACAAATACATACGACGCTGGATTGAAGCATATAATCTAACTCTATCAATTCTAGTTTAAAACGCAACATTTAAGAAAATAAAGTTTACTAGCCAGCCTTACATATTTGATTACTAATGGCCAACAGGCGGGATGAAAGAGTTTCAGGGTGCGTACCCAAGTCCATCAGCAAAAAATAAGGATTTTTTAAGTACTTTTTAAGCAATCAAAAAATATTTTTGAGCACTATATACATTAACAAAATGCAAAATAATTTTCACAGACTACATGATCATAATTAAAATAACTAGTTTCTGACAAAGAACTCTTTTCTTGATTAGATTAGACATTATAAAATGATCCAAGAGATTTTTCGGTTCGATATCAGAGGGTGGAAAATGAAGTCAGAAATTGAGAATATCTTGCAAAATGCAGCAGAGTTGCACACGAGAGTGCAATAATCTCATCGGACCCAGCTCAGTAGACGCACGTACGGACTCGCAAGTATTTCATCAAACAACATGCAAAATGATTGGCGCTCTCATACGCTACGGACTGACGGTACGCCGAAATAGATTGAAAGAATTGTGAAAACGCTGAATAGAACAATGCGAAAAGCACGCTTTTGCATAATACGTGGCAAAAATCGACATGGTAAAGAAAGAAAAAAATCTCATTTTCGAAAAGGGGAGATTTAAGCACTTTCTAAAAACTTCCAATGAAAAAACCACCTTTAAGGGCTTTTAAGAAACGAAAATTGAAAATAAGCACCTTTAAGCACTTTTTAAAAACGCCAAGCACCATGAGTTTGTCTTTGTGTGCAGGCACCGTGATTTTTTAAAATAACATATTGGCATTTTAAGGAAACCATTTGATAAAATAGAGAAAGTACAAATGAAAGAGAACTGCTGCATAGGTAAGAATCTTGTTTCCATGAAACCTCATAGCTCTTAACCCTTTAAAGAAAGAAACACACAAAGGTTCCGATTTCTGACAGTTCTCATCACTTCAATTCCAAGAAAGTTTCTCTTTTGTTCCTTTTTCCTCACAAGTACCCCCTATGCTGCTTTCTTACTCATTGTGAGGATTCTATAAGGGGTGGGGAAGGAGACATCTGCAGCTTTCTAAAACATGCCATTACATAAATGAAATATCGTCTGTTCCCCCAAAAGAAAAAGAGGGGGAAAAAAATCACCGCACTACAGCGTGATCCATTATTATGATTTTTTTTTTTTTTTAACAACACACACACTTTTCGCAGTTACAGAAGTAACTGATTTATTCGAATAGAACACGCAACATTTTGCAGCTATTCAAAAGTAGAAAATTATGTAGTGGCAACGTTTGTTATTATATGTGTGTGCAAAAAAGTAAGAAGTGAGTAATTTGGGCAAGAATGCATTAACAAACGTTGACGTTCTAAAAAAAAGGAAAGTAGATGATATCATTAACAAGGAAATCAAATAAAAATAAAATAATCACAGCAGAATTTGTTTTTAAAGGGGGGGGGGAAATAAACACGACAAAGGGGAGGGGAAAAAAGAAAGCTAAAACAAAAAGAAAGAAGAAAAAAAGAGTCATTTTTCGTAAATTTCACTAATTTTGTAAGTGAATAACTCCTATTACAAATAAAGGAGCAGTTTTAACAGTTCGGATCAAATATATCAGGGCGCGTAGACAAATCTTTCAACAAAAAATAAGCATCTTTTAAATACTTTTTAA